AACCGAACGGTTTAATAATTGCTTTTATAAAGATAATACACATTTAAGAAATATTTTGTAGTGACATCAATAAGACAAATACCGATTGATTTACTGAACAGTTTTATAAAGGGATAGAGTGCTGCATTAAACTCGATTTAAAAACCAGATACTGTTTGATTTTCTCGTCAGGCTTTAAAAGGTCTTTAAATGAGCATAAAGCTGAACTACTAATCAAGAATGTTTTACACTTTCAAATACTGTATTTGAACTCAAAAGATTGCTTACTTCCATTATAAAACCACAATAAATCAGAGTGAAAGTCGAAAAACTGTTAATTTGTTACTTGGGCGTTACGCTGGAATGTGTCATTAGATGCATAAGTTATAATTAAAAAAAACATCGTTCATTGAAAATAATCCCCACCCTAACGCCCGTGGCAACGATTGAGCGCTTCCCAATTAACGATCTGCACACATAGAGAAAATATTATATAACTTAGGTGCTCTGAGACTAACATATACAAGCGTCAATTTTAACATAAAATTTAGTCATAATAGACGCGAAATTCAGCTTAATCAAACTTATTTCTCGTCGAGTAATGAATTATTCAGTCTCGGAGCACTTAATTTTACATGAAATGATTGTTTTTGTCTCATCCTTTATGTCAAAGATGGATTCCGTCACGTGTAAAATTAGTAAATTCTAAGTGTGTGGGTCCTATCATACAATTGTAGATCATGATATACACTTGAAAAATGCTTTCAATCCTCGATTAATCTTGTAATGTAATCATCTTCAAAATTGTTCAGTCCAGTCAATGAGCTGTACGGCTGACTGAGCGGTGGCCCATCACGGAGCCAATCGAGCTTAGCTCTCCATGCGGAAGGGGCTGTTCTAGGAGATGGACGTAGTAGTAAGTAGTAAAATTCTTCTTTATTTTGATTTGTTATGTGGTTTACAATTGCTAATACAGGGCAAGAGGTTAGCCAGAAGGGCTCTTCATCTTCGGTGATCTTTTTGATTTTGTGTTGTACATGTGTTTTATTGTGTAATGTTTTTCAATTTTCTTCTTGTGAAGTATGTTGTTTGAATGTTTTAATTTGTTATTATACCTACTTAACCTAACGTGCCAGATCCCTAACGATCTGTTGATCGGATCGCCTACAGCAATCTCTGAACCTAGGAGATGGACGTTCTTGACGTCTGACCCACGGAATAAGATGTGCAATCGGGAGCTACATTTCGTGATCCTCTGTACCATAGAATCGGCTAAGGCAATGGTACTCGATCCGGATCCTATGGTTTAGCAGTCCTATGGACTTCTATCAACATTACTAAGAACTTCTCCCGAAACAAAGTTATGTCCATTTCGATGATATGGTTTTTGAATGATTCTCACAATTCATAATTATCGGGAGTGAATACTTAGTCCCATTGCACTTTCAACAGCTATAACTTTTGAAGCCGTACTGGAAAAGATAAGTAGACCAAGCAAACCGATTGGATCGTACAGTTTCGCAAAATACCAATAGACGGATCGTTTTGTTAGTTGCCCGGTGTAGAACTGAATATCGCATATCTTGGTCAGGAACAAATCGCTGTGGATTGTGTAGCCGACACTGGCCGATCTAGGTCAAGCCTGTGGCTTAAACGCCACTCCGGTAAACGAGACCGCAGGCCACGTTGAGTTTGCCCGGATGAGACTGCCTCAGGGCGAGTCCAAGTGAAAATCTTCCTAGAAAGAATAGAGCGAGCCAGCTTGACTTCTACCGAATTTGATCGAGTAGAAACCCCTATTGCGAAACAGCATAATCTCTCACAATATCGAAATAATTCTGAAAAGCTCCCGGTATGAAAATACACAAACCCTAAACGACGTTCCACGTCAAGTTCTCCTCCTCTGTAGCTTCACTTAAATTCCGCCAGAGGCGCAGCTGCAGCAAAAGAGGTACGCAACATAACAGTCAAATTCCGACCACGCGAAAGACAACAAAATATTTACACGGACCTGAAATAACGTAAAAATACTTTCTTCCTCTCATTCTAATATTTGATAGGACTGATCAACAACATTACATCGATTTCAAATCAAAACATTTATTTTCGAACGGAAAACGGTAAGTTGATTTTGATTGTATACACTCAAAAAAAATGACACGTTCCATTCATGTGTTTTGGAATATGAAGACCATTCATTGCTTGTCACCATAGAATCATGTGCTTTTTCCTCGGATGTCATGAGATTTACACAAAAAAATAATATGTTTTTATTGCTTATGAAATCAATACTAACCACACATTGATTTCATGTGTTTACTTATCGTAATCCATGAGATCCTCGTATAATTCTGCGCTACTGTTTTCCACTAGTGTATTTAACGTGTATGACACATGAATCTCGACATGAATCGTACGGATCTCACTGTCACTATAATGATGAGAAGAGTGCCTAAAGTGTCAAAACAAACATAAGGCACCAGCAACTTTGCGAGGAGAGTAAGTTTGTTAGTGGAGCTAGGTTTTCCTAACGAAATTATAGAAATTATTAACCGTGAGTACATTGTTTGTATGATAAGATATATTTATAACATTAATGCAATATTTTCATTACAGAACACGGCATTGATCCAACGAAAAACAGGATTAGAGCATCGAGGGCATAGGTTAAGCTATCTTCTACGATTAATAGACTGTACAAACAATATGAAAATGTAAATTAATGTATCAAAATTGAAATGTATCGTGTTTATCATTTTTACATACTGAACCCCGTTCAATAATTATCTTTTAAGTAGACCGTAGTTCTGTATATTGAGTTTCAAGCGTATCAGATAACAATTTTTCTGTTTGTACGATACTATTGGAATGCAGTATGCATGACTACGATTTGCTTAAATGAAATTTAGTTATCTATTTCAGAGCAACAAATCAACTTGGAATCCAATAGTGATACTATTAGATTGCTACTAGGTCTTTCATCTAATTCATGTGCATCGTGTTTAAATTTAGCATGTGTTGTAGAACATATTCATATGCAAAACATATCATGGTAATAAATAATGCACATGACTTTGACATTTAAATCACATGAAATTCATGTGTGTTGTAAGTGAATGGAGCATGGATAAGGTATGGCTGATTTCATAAGCTAGACATTTGAAATGAATGTGTTTGCCACATTGCGCCAATTCAAATGTGAAACACATGAACGGCGCGTGTAGATTTTTTTAAGTGTATAAACTAATGCATGCTTTTGCGGATTTGTTGATTTCTTGTATTTCCTACTCCTCTTTATTCTACTTATCTACCTAGCCCTGTACTTGTGTGTGTGCGGTACAACTACCTCCTATCTGTGCTGTGCTCTTCTCTGTCTTCTCGGTTAATCCCACAACGATTCAGCAAGCGGGAAACGACGAAGCTTGGCACCCGGATGTCTATTAGTAATGGGTTGGGTGGGTGTCCATATCTAACGATACGTGCGCACGATTTATATGCCTACACCCAACCACTCAATCATTGGACTTGTCCACATATTATAGCAAAGTAAGCTCTTCGACCTTATGGTCGGCAAAAAAGGTCCTCCGTGGCGCCTTCGCCAGACGCCACACTCACAGGTTTTCGCTGCTGTTGTTTGCTGCGCTGCTGTTATCGGCAGCGACGATGATGTTTAACGATTTCCACGTGGGTGGACGGTGATCTCACCAACAATGGAAGTTGGTATCCACCAAGTCCCGATACGCGATGAAAAATAATCGCTTTCCACCAGACAAGGTGACGGTTGCCGGGATCTTTCGCCCCGGGAAAGCAGATGATGGCGTGGGAAGTTGGATGTAATCGTCGGCTGTTGAAAATAATATTAAGCACAAAGCACAGATTTTGTTGGACGAGCACATTACCTGGCCTAAATTGTTTTTCTATCCACAAAAAATCTAACCCATGCGGCACACTACATTTAGCTTATGATTTGCTATAACTAAACAATCAACGATAAATTAGAATTTAAGTACAAGTAAAACCATGTTGTTTTCACTCACTATACAAAACTATACATTAACGCGAACAAAACGACACACTTCCACTGTAAACTGCGGTTCGGACGAAAGTGAAACGAAACCGTGATCCTCAGATTAGGGAAGGTGACCTCGGCCTATCTTAACGGAAGTTCGATTTTCCCGCGAACTACTTCGAACGAAATCGGTAATGCGAGAGATTATTCTGATCGTTGGCCCTTCATTCAAAGTCGGGTGTAGCCACACTCTCTCTTTCCCCAACTTTCCCAAAGGTTTCCCTGGACTCGGCCTTGGGAGAAACTACGCAAGGTCGAGTGGCGTTACTCGCGAGGCATTCCAATGTTAACGTAAATCAGCAAGTGTCGTTTAGCTACTGGCATGGTTTTTGGCGTATGGATTTGATCTATTTCGTGCTAATTTTATTTATGGCTAATTTAATATTTACGGCATGGAGCGCAGTCTACAATTTGTCAAGTTAACCCCAAAGTTCTATTTGTCCTCGAAGAATGCAACTTGTGTGGTATCAGAATTTTGTGTTGCTTTTGGAAGCAATTTGGATCATTTGAACCACCTTAATAAGCACATCTACTCTATAGTCTGGAAAAGAATGCTACACGCAAACCAAATTTCTCTTACATCCAATGTAAGGATGGATTTATTACATTATCTGCATATGTTATCAGTTTTTGCAATGGACTGCAGCACACAAGCAAGTATATCTAGAATGTATATTTTCGTATAAAAGCTTCACCAAATGATTTTCTAGACGTAATGCATTTGAGGAAACAAACTTTGTTTGAAAACTAAGCTAACTAACATAAAAATTACAAAATTATTTTAAAAACCTCCCGGAGCCACATTCCAGAATCCATTCATGCAGTAAAAGATCATAAATTCTGCATACTTTCAATGCAAATCTGTAATAGAATCTTACGTTTTCTGGTTGGGTGAAGCAGATAAAATTCAAGCTGATGATATAAAAGGTATAAAACATATTATTTTCTTCAATTTTTCATTTGATTTATTTACAGTAGCATTCAATTTAACTAGTTTATGAGAGTGAGGTACAGCTCTAGAAATGAGTGTATGGCGTATCATAGCGTAGAAATGAGAACAGATGATCAATACTAGAATTGACCTAGATGAGTCTAATAGTGGGAATAATGGGGCTCTGGGTGGCTATACTGGTGAACTGGGGTCACAACCTTGGCGACTGGGGCGTACACCTTGGCCACTTGGACTGGGGCGACGATCTTGGCAACTGGAGCGATGGTCTTGACGATCTTGTGTCCCTCGAGAGGTTCACGGCGGACAACGGCGTTGAATCCATTGTGCTCATCGGCGGTGTAGTCAACAATGCGACGGTGGCCATCAGCATCAATCAGGGAGTATTGTCCCTTGACATCATCTCCATGGCGTTCCTCCTGTTGGCTCTTGATATCACCGGTGTGTTCATCGTGAACGGAGTACTGGAACTGGTATTCGGCCGGGGAGTCTGGGTATTCGACGTGCTTGACAGTCTTGACTAGAGCTGGCTGGATGGTCTTGACGAAGGCTGGCTGGACGGTTTTGATCAGGGTTGGCTGGTGATGGTACTCAGGCTGGTGCTGATATTGCTCAGGCTGGTGCTGATACTGCTGAGGCTGGTGTTGATACTGCTGAGGCTGGTAGTGATGGGGATCATAATGCTGGGCGCTGGCCACGGCCAGAACGGCAAACACAGCTAGGAACTGGAAAGATAAAATATGGCTTATAAGAATAATTCTAGTTCATAAACGTTCATAACGTCTTACTTTGAAAGCCATCGTCTAACAGTGAGTATCTCTAGTCTTAGATCCTGTTCTAAAGGAAATGATCTGTTTGAATGATCTTGTTGAACTGTGCCGATTCGGAGTTCAACCTTAGTTTATATACGCGAATCGACCCGAGAGACAATATGCGGCACGGTCAACAGTCATCCGCAATGGTCGATCGGTCGTGTCACGTCAATAATTTGCGATTTTTTTTTCGGCAGTACGTACAAAATATTATTCTCTCTTCTGATGCATGCAAAACGTAGCGAAAGCACTCCTACTGCCTCGAGGGCAGGCCAAATGTTGCAAAAATCGTTTCATTCAACTCGTTGCTCCTACTCTTCTACCATAGCGCTCATTCATTCGAGCCCGCTGAAGGAACCGATTAACGTGCTACAGCTGCCGTGTGGTAGGGAGGAGGCAATAAAAAATATAGCAAAACAAACCATAAAGCGAATACCCCCCCTAAAGGGACAGTTTCGCACTCCTTCTCGTGTGCGCCGGCCGCCGAGCTATATGACGTAAGACAAATTAGTAAAATAGCTCGATCTGAGATGGTGTGTCCCGTCATGCGATGGTAGACTTCGATCTTGACCTACAGTGTAGTTCAGATTTGAGCATACACTTGAATGGACAACATTTTTTTCAAACACTGTGAATAGATAGATTTTTGAAATCCTGGCTGGTGGTAGAATAGCTAGTTATTGATTTATTGATATGGTTTTGGATTTCATTAGCAGAGCCTATATGAAGTATGAGTTAATTCAAGAAACGTTCAATTCTCAACACTTAGTGAAGCCAAATAAATCCAATACTGTACTGATAACCGAAGAATAGTAGCAGCCAAAAATGCAGATATTTGTCTTTTTAAATAATGCTCAAACAGCTGTTTTTTACATTAAGGACAGCTGTACGCTTCATTTTGAGATACACTGTGTATTAGCCATCACTGATATTAAGATTATAAGCTATATGTTTATATTAAGATTAAAAGCTTGTATTTCTTTTTTGATGAGAAGGGACATATTCATTAAAAAATATCTGATCCTTCGGAAAAAATATGCTTGGAACTGAAGAATCGCGAAATACGTTTGAAAAGTGTCCAATATTATCAACATTTAACAAAAAAATAATAATAATAACATTTAAGCCTCTACATCTCGAAGACGGGAAACTCAGAAATATTTTATGCACGTGATTTTTTTTATTATAAATTATATGTTTTTCATTATATCGAGTCGAAAGAAAAATTGGACCATGTTTTGTATATTATTCCAAAAAAATCCAATTCCAAAGTAAAGTTATTCAAAAAATGATGTCTTTTTTTATCGTTACTTTTCCATCCAGATTTTTTTTTGTTGATTTGTTTTTCCGTCGTTTTTTTTTTCTTTGGGTGTAAGCACATCACTTGTCAAGCATGCACATCAAAGGAGGTGTATCTTGTGATCGCTTTGTTTACACTGGTGAACCGAACAGGTGTTTGTCTAATTCTGTCCATTACAGGATCTGTTTCGTTTTCGAGATACACAACGTAAGTCTAAAAATAAATTAAATTAATTAAACTAAGCATTCATCACAATTCAACTTTTACAGTGCATCATGAACCATTTTGTAGCGTGCAGGCGTCAACTCTTTGAAGTCATTCGGGAAAAAGTGAACTACAGCAGAGAGGAACAAAGGCATCATCTGTATGAATATATCATAAAGCAAAATGAGAAACGTGGTTCGTTTGAGGAAAATGACAAACAAATCAAGCACATACAATTTGCCGCAAAAATATATCGGAAATGGACACAAAATGACAAAATTACTATCAACGAACTTACAAGCATTGCTGGATTTTGATGCCAACCGCTTAGTGATAACGTTGTCAAGGTCAAAACATGGACCTTCTAACTTCAATAAACGAATTTGAGTTTTTTTTTTTTGCATAAATGGGGTTGCGATGGCAGTGGAGGACATTCCCTTTATAAGCAGGCTTTCAACAATAAAAACTCTAGTGACGGATCTATGCTACTAACGGTAATTGTTCCATTGCAACTAAGGGAGTTGGATGGATCTGAGATTTTGTGGACAAACCCAGCTCCAGCATCCACGTGGTTTTGTAAACCATTAAGAATTCAGTTTGTTGAAGGAAATAAAACTTCGTTGGTTCAGGAAGAACATTTTGAAAATCAAATAGCAACGCTTAATCCAATAATTATCATGATTAATGACGAGCATTCGATTGAAATTCACCAAAAACTTTCGATGACGATGATTGACGGAAAAGCTAGAAATATGTTGACAGAGACTTCATCCATGGCTACAAGTTGTGCATGTGGAGCCACATCATCTAAACTGGCAGCTACATCAGCAATCAAACGGCGAGTAAATACATCCGTTTATGCGTATGGTATCCCGGTAATTACATGTTATGAGCATCAAGAAATGGAGTGCCAAGCAAGATAGCTACAGAGAGCGGAAGCACGTAATTAAGGAACAACTACGCCGGGAATTGGGAATTCTAGTGGATACGGTTAAATAAAGGGCGAACACGAAAATATTGCGACACATTCAACAGGGCATAACTTTTTTACCATTGGGTAAAAATCAACCAAATTTTGCACACTTTCTCATTGATGTGTATTGTGTACATGCTGTCAAACTCGAAGTCGTGTTTTTCGATTCAACGAAAATGGAGGTGAACCAACGCGAGTTGAGAGAACAAATTCTTTCCAAACACCTGGAATTTCCTGACCTGTCGCACCGGCAGTTGGGAAAAATGTTGAACATTCACCATTCAACCGTCTCCAGAGTGTTGAAGCGGTTCCAGGAGCGATTGACGTTGGACCACGGCAAAGGAGCTGGAAGAAAACCGGGACCGGAGAACAAAAAGACGGAGGGAAAGGTGAAGCGGATGATTAAAGCAAATCCCAACGTCTCAAGCCGTGATTTGGCTAAAAAGATCGGCATGTCGTAGAGCTACGTCCAGAATGCAAAGGAGAGAGCTGGACTACATACATACAAGGTACAGAACTTCCCAAACCGCGATGAGCGGCAACAATCGACGGCTAAAACTCGGGCACGGAAGCTCTACGAGAAGATGCTGACAAAATATGGCTGCTGTGTGATGGACGACGAAACGTATATAAAAGCCGATTTTAAGCAAATTCCGGGGTTGGAGTTTTTCACCGGCAAGAGCAAGTTCGATGTGGACGACAAATTTAAGAAGAAGAAAATGTCGAAGTTCGCCTCCAAATATCTCATTTGGCAGGCCATCTGCTCTTGCGGACTGAGGAGTGAGCCTTTCGTGACAAAGGGCAAAGTAAATGGCGAGATCTACAAATCTGAGTGCCTCAAGAAGCGCCTTTTGCCGTTCTTGCAGCAGCACGACGAAGCTCCGCTATTTTGGCCAGATTTGGCATCATGCCACTATTCTAAAAGTGTCCTGGAGTGGTATGAGGCCAATTCTGTCCATTTTGTTCCAAAGGACATGAATCCGCCAAACTGTCCGGAGCTGCGCCCGGTGGAGCAGTACTGGGCAATAATGAAGCGGGAACTTCGGAAGAGCAAGAAGACAGTCAAAGACGAGAAGGACATGTTAAGAAAATGGAAAAAAAACTGAGAAACTAATACCGGATGACATTGTAAAGACTTTGATGGAGGGAATCAAGCGAAAATGCGTTCAATTTTACACTCAAGGCTCCATCGATTAACTTTTCTTTTGATTTTTGAAGTAAATATATGTATAAAACTACCCTAAAATTTTGGTTTGATTCTAAACATTATAAGAAAATTGGCATGGCATTTTCGGTGTCGCAATAATTTCGTGTTCGCCCTTTAATGATCCAAAGACCGCACGAATGACGGAAAGACCGCACGTTGATTTTTCGAGAGTCCATCTGAAGAGGCTGCAATCACAGGCCTAAACAAGGAATTAATTGAAAGGTTCAGTATTATCTTGCACGCATGGGCATGTGGCTTTGCCATCGATCCAGTTAGCTTTAAAAAGTACACTTTAGAAACTGCCCAGCTCTTCGAAGAACTTTATCCATGGTACTACATGCCAGCATCAGTGCATTATGTGTCGATCCATGGTGCTGACATTATTGCTTCGATGGACTTAATCAGGAGAAGCACTAGAAGCAAGAAACAAAAATATAAGGTCATTTAGAGAACACCAAACTCGTAAAGTTTCCATGGAAGCCACTATGACCGATTTGTTTCACAGGCTTTGGGCTACCGGTTATATTCTATTTTCATCTTTGAGGAAATACGAACCCAAGGACAAGGAAGAGTTGGGCAAATCAGTGCTAAGTTTGCTTCTTTTTTTTTTGTTTTGTAAAATACAATTAGAATTAACTAATTGTTAAGTAACATTGATTTGTCACATAACCGACTAAGACTAAGAAAGAAAAATAAAGGGTGATACGGTCAAAATTTGGTCAATATCAACTTGACGTATTTCTTTCAATTTTGCATTTAAAAAACCTGAACACCCCTCATTTTGAAGGTGTGTGTGTGTAGAATGTTGCTCCTATTTTGATTTTGGAATTCACTCTTCAGTTGTCAAAATGCCGTCCAAGCAAGAAGAGCAGCGTCTCAAAATTTTGCTCGCGCATCGCGAAAATCCGAGCTACTCGCACGCAAAGTTGGCAAAATCGCTAAAAGTTGCCAAATCAACCGTTACAAATGTAATTAAAGTGTTTGGGGAACGTTTGTCGACAGCCAGGAAGTCTGGATCGGGGGGAAATCGAAAACCGGAAGCCGCTGAGACGACAAAGAGAGTTGCCGGTAGTTTCAAGCGAAACCCTAACCTCTCTCTCCGAGATGCCGCAAATAAGCTGGGTGTATCGTCTACAACCGTGCATCGAGCCAAAAAACGAGCCGGACTATCGACTTACAAGAAGGTAGTGACTCCAAATCGCGATGATAAACAAAATACGACGGCCAAAGCGCGATCCCGGAGGCTGTACATGACGATGCTGACGAAGTTTGACTGCGTGGTAATGGACGACGAAACCTACGTCAAAGCCGACTACAAGCAGCTTCCGGGACAGGAGTTTTATACGGCAAAAGGAAGGGGAAAGGTAGCAGATGTTTTCAAGCACATGAAACTGTCAAAG